ATGCTGATCTGCCCTGGAACAGCTGAGAAAGTGTTGGAATTCTTCACCTTTTGCCGGTCACATACTCCACCGCCGAAAAACTGGACAGGATTAGGTTAAAACGTGTGACCACGTCACTGGTCACACATTCTTTTTTTTTTTTTTATAAATTCTTTATTTAACAAAGATTTTTCACAATTTTCTTGTACACATACAATTCCTCAGAAGGGTCAAGATATGATCAACCTACATGGTATTAGTTGCATGTAATCGACTTAAGTTGCAGACAGAGGAACATAACTAAACAAAACCACATAACCAAAACTTAAGACAAAGAAGGGGGGGGGGTCAATTAACAAGGCCAATATCCAGATATCTTCGGGGGGGGCATTGATGCGAGTCCTCTCCGGTGGCCACCGCATCTAGTTCGGGCCAAGGATGGGTCTGGGTTCGTGCGCTGGTTTCAAGGATCCCCACTACCTATCGGGGTGTTCAGTATACCTGTGGCTGTCTGTAATGGGGTGATCCAGAAGGCGGGGAGGGGAGGGGTGGGAAGGGTTGAAAGGAATGAGAGGGGAGCTGAGGTTGGGGGGACTGAGGGGGAGGGGTGGATGGAGCTGGGAGATAGGTTAGGTCTGGTGTCTAGCACGTGATGTCTGTCCGGAGGGTCACCGTACGAAGCCCTGACGCAGAGCCTCATATTCCGGGGTGAGTAAAAACTCAATCCAATAAAACCATGTCTTCCTGAATTTGTCTGGGGTATTGCGGAGGGAACTGGTAAGGTCTTCCATTAGGATGGACGCTCCCGGGACCGGGGTGAGCGGTGAAGCTTGGGCGCCATGAGGGGGGCGCGGAGGTGTAGGCCCCTGGGTCTTACCCTGTGTCTCGGGCCCCATGGCCGGCCGTGGTGTGTTGCGGGTCGATGGCGCTTGGCTGGAAAGGTACCGCTGTAATGATGTCAGGGAGCGCCGACTGTTATTAGATCTGGATTTCCTCTTCTGTGACATCGAAAATTGGGTTGGAAGATGCCGTGATCTTCTGAATATGCCCATAGATAGCAGAGCTCAGGCAATGTGCTTCCTCACTCCGCCATTGCCAAGCCACGCCCCCACTGGTCACACATTCTAACGCAGTCACAAACTTTGATAGAACACCGGGTTGCATTCCATTGCGCTCCAGAGGCCGAAGGCTCTGGAACGCATTCTTTGTGGTGCGAACCGGCCCTAAATCTCCAGCTTGGACAACCTTCAGTGTAAGTCACCGTACTATAATTCACCAACACCAACCACACTCAGGGAAGCTTTGAAAATATTTAATGCTGCTAGAAAATAAACATTATACAGTATTATTCTTTATCAACAGTGAGATATATTCTGATATTTGTTTTTAGGAAAAGGGTCAAATAAATTAATATATGTACAAATTTTCTATTACTAAAAATAACATCCCATACTCGAATGACGAAAAAGCTTGAAATCAAAGCTCTTGCCTAAAAGTTATCTGAAGCCGGGGTATAAAAAAATTATGTAGAATTTAGTGAGATCGGACCCCAAAATCAGTATGAAAAAGGAACTCCTTGCAAACTGTAGCACCAAAATGTGTCAGAAGCTGTTCAAAGAGGAAAATAAAACTCAACCAAGCCTCCTAGGCCTTATTTAATAACGCAAAGAACAATATACAGAACGCAGCGCCCAACGTCAACCAATCAGAAACAAGCATCCAATGGTCTGTTCACTGTAAGGTGCTGGAAAACGGATTTGGCATATCAGTGGTCTTTGCGCTGTTATTAAATAAGCCTATTAGTGTCTGTGAAGGTTCTCATCTATCCAGGTCATGATATAGCTAGTAGTAGTAGTTAGTCACAATCAGTTGGACTTGTTTTGTGATGTTGAAGACATTTCATAGCTTATGAAGAGAGAAGGATGCACACTGATATCCACCACAGGTAAACTTTATTCCAGTGATTGCAGCTTCCGACATGACGGAACTCCCAGCCCAGACACCCATCTCATAGCTTATCCAAGACACTTCCTTCATTCTATTAAGTTATAGGACCGTACGTACCGCAGCATTTATATCCATACAGATAGCACAGACTCCATACTCCAATCACAATGGAATGCATCATGCCAGATGTTCATTGTCCAAGAACAGAATAGGAGGTGTGAAAGCTATGGAACCCCCCTCTATTTACAAAATGCCATCTCTGGTGCCACAGGGTCTGCGTAGGTGTTAATTGTATTTGTAGAGTCTGCACATATGGTAATCATTCTACAAAAAAAGCAAAAAGAAAAAGGAGCACAGACATCTCAGGAGTACTTTGAAAGTTTTTGGCTACCCGGACTGGGGTTTAAATTATTCACAAGGTCAAGCAAAAACAGGGTACCATCGAACAGAGGGGAGAAGCAGAACACATGGAGTGATATAGTCATCCTGAAAGTAGCTGAGGTGTCTACAAAGTGCCCAGAAGGATCTTTAACAAACATTTCATTCCTGTGTTCTTCAAAAGACCCAACACCCAAACACATGTGAAGTGACTTGGTATATGCAGTTCAGTGTAGTGAGGAATACAAAGACCTGCACATTTGAGGGGGAAAAGCAACCTCTCAACTAACAAATGGCCTCATATAGGAGGGCAAATTCTTCAGGTGAAGACTGGTGTTCTCCTACACCTTAAAGAGAAGGGATATTCCTTTGAGGACGGCGAGGTGCACATTTTGGACATAGATGACAACTGTCTGTGAAGGTTGTCATTCATCCGGGTCATGGTATATCTGTAGAAGGTTCTCATTCCCCGGGTCATGGTATATCTGTAGAAGGTTGTCATTCCTCCGGGTCATGGTATATCTGTAGAAGGTTCTCATTCCCCCGGGTCATGGTATATCTGTAGAAGGTTGTCATTCATCCGGGTCATGGTATATCTGTAGAAGGTTCTCATTCATCCGGGTCATGGTATATCTGTAGGAGGTTCTCATTCCCCCGGGTCATGGTATATCTGTAGAAGGTTCTCATTCCTCCGGGTCATGGTATACCTGTAGAAGGTTCTCATTCCCCCGGGTCATGGTATATCTGTAGAAGGTTCTCATTCCCCCGGGTCATGGTATATCTGTAGAAGGTTCTCATTCATCCGGGTCATGGTATATCTGTAGAAGGTTCTCATTCCCCCGGGTCATGGTATATCTGTAGAAGGTTGTCATTCTTCCAGGTCATGGTATATCTGTAGAAGGTTGTCATTCTTCCAGGTCATGGTATATCTGTAGAAGGTTCTCATTCCCCCGGGTCATGGTATATCTGTAGAAGGTTCTCATTCATCCAGGTCATGGTATATGTGTAGAAGGTTGTCATTCATCCAGGTCATGGTAAATCTGTAGAAGGTTGTCATTCCTCCAGGTCATGGTATATCTGTAGAAGGTTGTCATTCATCCGGTTCATGGTATATCTGTAGAAGGTTCCCATTCATCCAGATCATGGTATACCTGTAGAAGGTTGTCATTCAGCCAGGTCATGGTATATCTGTAGAAGGTTGTCATTTATCCGGGTCATGGTATATCTGTAGAAGGTTGTCATTCATCCAGGTCATGGTATAGCTGTAGAAGGTTGTCATTCCTCCAGGTCATGGTATATCTGTAGAAGGTTCCCATTCATCCAGATCATGGTATACCTGTAGAAGGTTGTCATTCCTCCAGGTCATGGTATAGCTGTAGAAGGTTGTCATTCCTCCAGGTCATGGTATAGCTGTAGAAGGTTGTCATTCCTCCAGGTCATGGTATAGCTGTAGAAGGTTGTCATTCCTCCAGGTCATGGTATAGCTGTAGAAGGTTGTCATTCCTCCAGGTCATGGTATAGCTGTAGAAGGTTGTCATTCATCCAGGTAATGGTATATCTGTAAAAAATAAATCAAGGCAACTGGACTTGCTGTATTTTTCTTGCAGACGTTCTGATGGTCATCCGTCTAGCTTTGTCATTTCATTCTTAATTTAATTCATTCTGAATTGAGAAAGCTGGTTGGATGACCGGCGGAACATCTTTAAGAAAAATACACCAAGTCCAGTTGCTTTCATTTATTTTTAATAGATACAGATGACAAGTGGTTTGCAAGAGGCACGAAATAGGCCATCTACATCAAACTGCAACAACCGTTCCTGAACAGTGTGACGCCATCTTTTGTCCACGTATAATGCCGTTATAACATCTCTACCCTGGTGACTTACCTCTGGGTAGGTGTTAATCCTTCTATTCACACCTGCAGCTTTGTAAATAGAAGGAATAATACCTATGCATGACACCAAGGATTGGATTATGTAACCAGAACTGGGTTCTTTCACAACTTGCACACCTCCCATTCTTTTCTTGGACAATCAACATCTGCTTTGACATCAAGACATAGGAATAAAGCACCTCTCCTCCACGGCTTTAGCAGGGGAAAGACTGCCGGGTGCTCACCGGTAGAGTGTGTCCTCGCTCCAACCAAACAGATATATAGTAAAGGAAGAATACAGCCACACTCCATTCCACGCTGAATCAGTTTATTGAAAATTCGTCATTGACACCAAGTCTTGCCCAATGTCCACCCCCTGACATGTTTCACCCAATCCACTATGACTAAGCTCAGGATTGGGTGAAACATGTCAGAGGGGGGGTGGCAGACCCCGAGCAGGACTCTGTGTCAATGGCGAGCATTTAATAAACTGATTTAGCGTGGAGCAGTGTGTCCGGATTCTTTGTTTACTATACATCTGCTTTGACATACTGGGGGGAATTTAGCAAAACTGGAGCAGAGAGAATAAGGAGCAGTTGCCCATGGCAACCACTCAGCATCTCTCTTCAGTTTGCTCAGGTAAGAATTGGAAATGAGAGAGAGATGCTGATTGGCTGCAGTGCATATCTGCTCCAGATTTGATAGATCTCCCCCACCGTATTTCATGGTGATTGGATTAAGGTGTCCGTGCTACCTGTATGGATATATATTCTGGGTTATGTCCCTGACAATGATTAGTGCTAAAGAAGTGGCTTGGAGAAGCTATGGAACGCCTTCAACATGACAGAACAATTCCAGTTGCATGTAATTATTACTAGCAAAGCCCATTAGTGATGCAAGCTGGTTTCATAGTTAATGCACAGCCCAGAACACGGAGTAAAGCCATTTCTACTTGATGAAGTTGGGAGAGCATTCCGGGAAGCAGAAGCTAGTTCTGAATGGCCGCAATCTCCATAGTGCAGACAATTACGTTGTTTCTTCTAGTATAGTTCATCTCTACAAATTGCTCTTTACAGAGTTTAATGGCAACGTGGCAAGTCAGGAGTTACGGGGTGAAAAGGAATGGTATTTGGCATACACCTTGCAGGAGTTATCGCAGGTCCATGACCACGACATCCTGGTCACAGATTGTTGTGTGGCTGGTGGTCTGTAGGGAGAGAATTAGTTATTATGGCGATCGAAAATCTCAAAGTTAAACTTTATTCAGATATAAAAGACATTAAAAAGGAGAACTATGAGGTGAGTGATTTCCACTCATCCTCATAGTTCGAGGCGACGTGTGACAATGAAACTGTCACAGGTCAGCTCAATAGATCGGCAAGTGAGCGAACACATACCGGTGCTCGCTCACTTCTCGATCATCTCCCTGCAGAGAGCCGTGACTGTCAGTCATTCCTCCCTGCAGGGATTCCCCCCTCCCCGCTCCTCCAGCGCTGACTGGAGGAACAGGCGGAATAGGCAGAGCCAGCTGTCACTCACGCAGCTGGGTGGATCTCGACAGCAATGTCCGTAACTGTCCCGGCTGCGGCGGTCTCAGTATACCGCGAGCTGTGGCTGGCGATATACTGAGCTTTGGGTCACGGGAGGATGCTAGTTTGTGTCCTCCCGTAACCCTTAATAGAACTATGGGGAAAACCGCTTACCCCATAGTTAACTTTCAATGCAGTTCTGCAATCATTAATCACATAATTAAATGCAACCAGTGTAAATACTTGAATATGACTTGGTACCAACTTCTTGTAGTCCCTGTATAGCAGGGCTGGAGTGTGAAAGGAAAAAGTAGTATAAGAGGCCAATCAGGTTGTGTCAAGTGTTGACAAGAAGCACGCTGATAGGAGGGAGAAACAGAGTGATGGAGATTATCACTGTGATGCCTCCCATTCACTGGCTGGGGTGGTTCCAGGATGACCTGGGCTCAGAGAAAGTGGGTTTAATGACGGCTCAAATTTCAACTGATTCACCACGAATCGGCAGAAATTGAGCCATCTACGGCCAGCATTAGGCTGTGGCTAAAGAAACAGGCTTTGTACTCATTTTAATTTAATTCACCAGGAAAGTATTGAGCCGATTTAAACTAAAAGTTTAGTTGAACTCTATGCACATGTTTAATACTAGATATTTACACTGGCTTGTATGGAGGAATAAAAGCAAAGCACAAACTAATCTCAAACTCACCAAAATTGATTGCAAATGCCATGTACACTAGCCCTATGGCTGAAGAACAAAATCACAGCATTGGCAGGGCAGAATTCTCAGCTATAAACAACCAGGCAACTGTTCCTGCAAGTTGGCATCCAATCAAAGGTTTTTTTGTGGACTTTGCCATCAGTTACACTTTGTTACAGGCACGGAAACAACACAACATTTTTGCAGATGTAGATTCACCATGTCCTAACAGCCCAATGTTCCTCTAAGACACTGACACCTTGTGGACAGATTGTAGGCGGCACTCAGATAGACCACAAATAATTGCATTTACATAAATTGGTATTCCATCCCAGCAAACCAAACCAGTACATTAAAGTGACACTAAACTCAGGAGTTAAATCCTAAAAATACATTCAAGTACCTGAACTAATAACAGAAATGTCTCTTATTTGTGTATCACTCGGCTGTAGATCCTCAATCATCTCTGAATTGGTGCTGACACTGTCCTTCCTTCGGGAGGGTGACTACTTATGTTCCCCATGGTCCCTGTGTGTGTTGTAAAGTAGTCACCGCTCCAAGCTCACTCCCGGGATGGACTACAATCTCAATACAAATTATTGAACTAAACCTGAGATTGTGGTTCATCACGGGAGTGAGCTTGGAGCCATCTGTAGGTGCATCATTAAGTCAGGGCACACTTACATTGAATAGAGGAGGGTCTTTACAATGTGGATGAAATCCTTTCTGTCGACATTCACCAACCTCCTTCATGCCATAGTCCGTCAGCTTGAAAATCCCGGTTCTACAAAAAATAAGCATGAATCCACATATTTATAGCAACAGTTGTGCAGTGGAGCAATGAATGAATCAAAGAGAGTGTGGAATTAAACTTAAAGTGACATTAAAGTCACATTCCCCCCAATGCTGGTGGAAGTCCCTCCAGCGCTGATCTCTGATCCAGCACTGACTGCTGTGTCTTCTGTGTCCCACGGAGTCTGTGCGCGTGCACGCTGCCGGGCTGCCTGCATTGACTTACCTTGTGTCTCTCCTCGTCTCCCGGCTGAGGATCTCTACTGCGCATGCGCCCGCCCCAAGATCCTTTTCGGCTGTCCGAGAATCTTCAGAACTTCAGACGGGAGAGTGTGGTGGAGACACAGGTAAGTTTTTACCTACTTGGTAACTTTTTGGTTTTTGCATATATCTGCTGCTTGCTAAATTATATATATATATACACATTATATATATATATATATATATACACACACACACACATT